GGTCTCGATCTCTTGACCTCGTGATCCACCCGCCTCGGCCTCCCAAAGTGCTGGGATTACAGGCGTGAGCCACCACGCCCGGCCTCATTTGGTTTCTTATTCTACCTTATCCAGGTCAATTTGGAATCAGATCTATTATTTTGCCCAGCTTCATATTCTCATCCAAGTCATGAATAAGAATACTGAATAACCAAGGCCAAGGATAAGATCTAACAGTCAGTCCCTCCCTCTAAGGTAATATTGTTTCTATCACCTATCAGTACCCGCTGGATTCCTCCAACCAGTTTTGACTCCACTTAAATATACAAATATCCATCCTATCCAACCCTCTGCCTTGTCAAATGCATAGCTAAAGTCCAGAAATACTACCTGCCACATCCATGAGTTACCAAGCTTGGTAGAAAGATGATGAGTCTAACATGGTCAATTTACTCTTTAAGGTTCCTAGAGATCATCACTGGACTATATATGCCAGTGCACAGCATAACATCAACCAGCATACAGAAGTCACTCAATAAATCTTGGAAGGATTGATTCTTTACTAATAAGCTTCAAGTATGATAATATCTCCCTTCCCTTAATCCATATAAAAAAGGAAGGGAAATAGAGAAAATATAAAACCTATCAGGCATTTATATTCATCATCTCTTATCCTCACAACTATTACGTAAAATAGGTTATTAGTATTCCCATTCTGTAGACCAAGAAACTGAGGTTCTGTAAGGGATACTGACTTGCTAGAGTTCATAAAAAGTGACACAGCTGGGTTTAAATCCAGATTTGCCCAACTACATTGTCTGTCTGCTATACCACACTTCCTCATTACAACTTTCATATTCACACAGCAAATATTGTTTCTGTTTTGTTACAAGCAAACATGTCTTACAGTGGGGATGTCTATATGGCCCTGATCCAGCTCAAGCTAGACTCTTGGAGCCCTTGACGCTAAGAGTTCCAGGACCTGAGTTTTCCCCCACACAATATCCTGGAAGCTGATAGCAGCATTGCCATCAGGGTAGTAAAGACTCAAAGGCCAAATAATCAGACCTTAAGATTAAATATAAAGTCTGTTTACAGAAATTCTTGTGCTATAAAGAGAAGCATCCCACACTAAGTGTTAGAAGCCTGATTCTATGCTTGCCTCTGTCCCAATTTGTTATGAAATTTGCTTCCCCTATCTAGACCTCAGCTTCCTCAGCTGTAAAATGCAATACCACAGAATTACTAAAGAGATAGAATGGGTGATTACTAACAAGACTGAAGGTGTAGGTGTAAATGACAGCACTTTGGGGTGTCTTGGAAATATTCAGATGGACATACCAGGAGATAATTAAGAATGTGGATGTGAGCCAGGGCGCAGTGGCTCACACCTATAATCCCAGCACTTTGGGAGGCCAAGGTGGGGCAAATCACCTGAGGTCAGGAGTTCGAGACCAGTCTGGCCAACATGGTAAAACACTGTCTCTACTAAACATACAAAAATTAGCTGGGCACTGTGGCGGGCAACTGTAATCACAGCTACTCAGGAGGCTGAGGCAGGAGAATTGCTTGAACCCAGGAGGCGGAGGTTGCAGTAGGCCAAGATAGCACAGCTGAACTCTAGCCTGTGCGACAGAGCAAGACTCTGTCTCAAAAAAAAGAAGGAAAAGAAAAGAAAAGACAAGACAAGACTAAACCTACATTTCATTGGTGTACCTGAAAGTGATGCGGAGAATGGAACCAAGTTGGAAAACACTCTTTAGAATATTATTCAGGAGAATTTCCCCAACCTAACAGAACAGGCCAACATTCACATTCAGGAAATACAGAGGACACTACAAAGATACTCCTTGAGAAGAGCAACCCCAAGACACATAATCAGCAGATTCACCAAAGTTGAAATGAAGGAAAAAATGTTAAGGGCAGCCAGAGAGAAAGGTTGGGTTACCCACAAAGTGAAGCCCATCAGACTAATAGCGGATCTCCCAGCAGAAACCTTATAAGCTACAAGAGAGTGGGGACCAATATTCAGCATTCTTAAAGAAAAGAATTTTGAATCCAGAATTTTATATCCAGCCAAACTAAGCTTCATAAGTGAAGGAGAAATAAAATCCTTTACAGACAAGCACATGCTGAGAGATTTTGTCACCACCAGGCCTGCCTTACAAGAGCTCCTGAAAGAAGCACTAAACATGGAAAGGAACAACCAGTACCAGCCACTGCAAAAACATACCACATTGTAAAGACCATCAAAACTATGAAGAAACTGCATCAACTAACGGACAAAATAACCAGCTAGCATCATAATGACAGGATCAAATTTATACATAACAGTATTAACCTTAAATGTAAATGGGCTAAATACTCCAATTAAAAGACACAGACTGGGAAACTGGATAAACAGTCAATACCCATTGGTGTGCTGTATTCAGGAGACCCATCTCATGTGCAAAGGCACACACAGGCTCAAAATAAAGGGATGGAAGAATACATACCAAGCAAATGAAAAGCAAAAAAAAAA